GAGCTACAGTTTCTTACGTTTATTGGCCTTTTGAAATTCTGTGTTGCAGTTGCGTGACTTTGTTCTCAACTTGATTTGTAGGAATTCCTTATATATTCTGGTTTATGTATCTTTTGTCAGAAATACATATTGCAAATATTTTCTCCTCTTCTGAGTTGCCTTTTTACTCTCAATGTTGGATCTGGGTAAACAGAAGTTATTTTTAATGTAATCATTTGATCAATGTTTTGAAAGATTAGCTCTCTTTTCTCATTTTAAAAATCTTTTTTTCAAGGTAATGGAGATATTTTTCTCTAAAAGTGTTATTGTTCTACCTTTCTCATTTAGATCCACAGTCTTTTTACAACTTATCTTTATATATGTTGTGATGCAGAGATCAATTTTTCTGTTCCTGTAGACATCTAGTTGACCCAGCACTATTTATTGAAAGGGCTACCCTTTACCCACTACACTTCAGTGAGACCTTTGTCATAAATCTGATTATAATAGGTGTGACTGTGTGTGTCTGCACTTTCTCTTCAGTTCCACTGGTGAGTTTGTTTCTTGTCAATACCTTGCCATCTTAATTACTATAGCTTTATAATAAATTTTAATTTGTTTAAGTATAAATTCTCCACTTTTGTTCTCCCTCAAGATTGCCTTGGCTTTTATTAACACTGTATTTTCATCTGAATTTTGTCAGTTTACATACACACATGCGCAATCTTGTTGGTATTTTGGTTGGAATTGCATTGAGCCTAGATGATTTTGTGTTCTTGTGATCTTTACGCAGCAGTTTCACGCCTGTTTTCTTTTTAAAATCACTCACCCCTTGAAGGAACCAGCTATCTGCTGAAGAATCCTCTGAGGGGAGGGCAGGAATGTGCTGAGGACAGCCTCAGCTTCCTGTTTATTGTCTCAAACACTCTCTCCAGTTCTGTTTCTGTCGTCTGGGGAAAACCTCTTTGATTTGGGCTTTCCAGAAGCTGGGGAGGCTCATATTAAGCAAAGCCTGTGAAGCCACTGGCTCTGTTGGGATCTGGCTGTTGTTGCCTGCCTGCTCGCCTTCCCTTCTTTTTTTTTAAATTTTATTTTATTGAGTTACAGTCATTTTACAATGTTGTGTCAATTTGCAGTGTAGAGCACAATTTTTCAGTTACACGTGAACAAACATATATTCATTGTTGCATTCTTTTTCACCATGATCTACCGCAAGATCTTGTATGTATTTCCCTGTGCTATACAGTATAATCTTGTTTACCTATTCTATATATACCTGTCAGTAGCTACAAATTTCGAACTCCCAGTTTGTCCCTTCCCATCCCCCTCCCCCTGGCAACCAGAAGTTTGTATTCTATGTCTATGAGTCTGTTTCTGTTTTGTATTTATGCTTTTTTTTTTTTTTTTTTTTAAGATTCCACATATGAGCGATCTCATATGGTATTTCTCTTTCTGGCTTACTTCACTTACAATGATCTGGCCGTCGCTGCCTGCCTGCTTGCCCTCCCTTCTTGTTACACAGGTTATTATTCTCTTTGGTACAGACACTAAGGAATAGGAGTCAGATGTACGTCAGCATAGCCTTCCCGAACCAGCTCCTCCTCTGCTGACGCTCTGTATTGTCAAACTGGGTTTTCGAGGGACAGCCTTACTTCTCCGGTGTGCTGTTCCCGCCTTGGACCTTTTGCTCTAATTAAGAGATCACTGCCTTTGCTTACTTAAAAAACATTGCATGCGTGTATCTATGTTTAATCCTCAATTTGTTCCAAAAAGTTTTGAATGGAGCTTCCGAAAAGAATACATTAAAGGACATGAGGGCTAATAAGAAAATAAAAATAAGATGTAGCATGGGGAAGGCCCACATGTGTCCAGTGAGAGGTACAAGCATTTATTAGACATGGGCCACAAATTTGGTCAAGAGCTTTCTAGCAACTAGTATACAAAACAGAAGCAGGATCTTTTATATGAATCTATATTCATAACTGAAAAAAGAAACCACTTAGAAGCTCTTTTAAGAAGGGCTGTGAAAGAGGGGAAAGAGAAATAAAAAGAATATAGACTTGAAGGGTTTTTCAGTTAGGAGACTTGTACAGTGTTTTTAGATTAAAGTAAAAATGAGTGAGAAAATACGGTAAGAGTGAAATTCAGGAAATTGTGCTATCAACAAAGGAAGCAGTACTGAAAAGTTGAATGTACACTCCTTTCTTAACTATACCGATTTATTTTAATTTTTATTGCAGTATACAATCAGTTTATAATGTATCAATTTCTGGTGTACAGCATGTTTCAGTCATACATGTACATGTATTCATTTTCATATATCTTCAGTATGTTACAAGATGTTGAATATAGTTCCCTATACTATACAGAAGAAATTTGCTTTTAATTATATCAATTTAAAAAGTATGTCATTAATCATCCTTTTTTAAAATCCAATGTTGATTCACTTTGTAAAGTGAAAGACCTTTTTGACGGTCTGCTTTAATGCATTTGCTATATAATTTTGGATTAAAAAAGGTATGCCTTAAATGGAGTACAACAGCATTAATCATTTATTTTTATATCTCTTTATATATAGCTTTTTCTCACACACACATTTAACAAATAGCAACAGGTATCCAGCTTTACAAATAAAGGCAGCATCTATTAAAGTAATTGGCACATTAAAAATGAATATTGATTTACTTGGTTGGTGGTTGGAGATTGTGTGTGTAGACTCTGTAGTCTAGGTCTATCCTAAGGGATTACTCATTTAAATTCAGCAGCCCGTTTTGTATGGTACCCCCCCCCCCATTCTGTTTTTATTTGGCTTCTTTCCTAATGTTTTGGGGTTTTAAAATTACATATACTTAAGGCGTACATGTTTGATATACATATATATAGTGAAATGATTACTAGTTGATTAACATATCCATCTTCTCACATATTTACCTGTGTGTATGGTGAGAACACCTGAAACCCATACTCTTAGCAAATTTTTCAGTATATAATAAGGATTAAAATGACTTCATGTGCTATTAATATTTGTCTGAAAGTTAAAGGCATTTCTATACATGACCCCAACTTTTTCTCCTTAGTACAAAGATGACTTTTAAGTTATTACTGGATCTACCAAGAATGTGTGGGAATCACTTAATACACATTACTTTGGGAACATAATAAATATGTCAGTGAACAAATAAAGGAGTGACTCACTGATATAAACATGCCACTGGGTCACCACCAGTCCAAAGAAAGGCCACCATGTACCAAAATCAGGGGCTGGTTAAGTGGGATTAAAATGACCAGTGGCTCACTTACTCTTCCATCTTCCTGGCCAATCCAGACTGGGTTAAAAATAACCTGCATCCAGAAGATTTGGTGCAGAGATTATGCCCAAGAGGCTGTTGTGAGCCATCTCAAGTAAGACAGATTTTGAGTTAGACAGGCTTTCTTTTTGTTTATTGTAGTTTGGAGTGTTCATTTCTTCTATCAGTTTAAACAGACTAACTGTAGTTGCTATTATAAATTCATTATTTTAACAGAAAAAATCACAGCTTCCTTCTCTATTCTATCTGCTGTGTAAAATGCCATTTTTCTTGTCATGGAAGCTGTTATAAAAGGATGACTTAAGTGAAGACTTGTATTAAGGATACAGTAATAGCTACTCATCCATTTCTTGCTTTCCAGTATTTCAGTCTCCTGGAATGGCAGCCATATTTGGTCTCAGGTTTGCAATTCTACTTTAACCTGGGGATAACTTCAAAACTTTATATAACAGCAGTAATGACAGAACAATAACTAAATTTTGTAGCAACTTAGTTTTGAAATGCATTTCCCAGTCGTCTCATTTGCATCAACATTCCATAAATATTTATTAATCACAGACTGAGTGCTAGGCAGTTAGCAGGGCAGCTGTTGTTATCTCCATTTGCAAAAACAAATTCACACAGATGTTAAGTGAGGTGTCCAGATTACGCAGCTACCAAGTGGAGAAGCAGGGAGCTGAACCTGGGCTCCTTGCTGAGGTCAGTGGAGTGCCCCACTGTGCTGATTTAAATACCAACTTTGCTGTGTACTTACTAGCTATTTAACCTTGAGGGATTTACTTAACCTCTCTGTGCTGCGGTTTGTTGTGAGATTAAGGGTATTCATAAAGTGCTCAGAACAATGCTTGGGAAGTAGTATGCTTTCTGTGAGATTATGTAAGTGTCTGCTATTATTTGATGCTTGGTCCAGTATTTTCTACATTATGTTGCCTCTGTCTCTACGTGGGTTAGTAGACTATTTCCTTCTTTCCTGTGGAATTTTTCTGTATTGCATACTGTTAACTTCATTTGGCAAAACCACTATACATCTGTCCTTTAGCCTGTATGCCTAAAATGGTCTATTTGGAATATCACACCTTTTAAAACCCACTCCCAGATTTACTCTCATTTTCTAGAACAATTAAAAATGAAGCTGATCTGTGTATTAAGAGATTAGTGGGAAACTCTGAAGAAAGGTATAGTCAAGTCTTTGTAAAATATAATTGCAAGAAATCATTTTAAGAACTTGGAAGAATTTCATTACTTTTTCCTGTGACTGTGTGAGTACTATTGTAATTTGAGCTTCTGAAAGTCTTCCAACAGTTGCTATATTCATTCTGAAATTATCTAGTAGATAATTCAACATGTCTAACAATTAGACAAATATTCTTTAATAAAGCTCAATTAATATGGCAAATTTTAAATCTATTGTTTTGCTTAAATAGTCCTGGAAGAAAACACTTTTATTTGCTCCAAAAACTTACACATTGATTACATGAATATCTGCTATTAGTATCTGTTTTTATAGTTTAAATTACCTTACTCAGAGTACAGTAGAGAGAGGTAACCTAATCCAAGAGAGAAAACTGAAAGCAAAAAAAAGGTAAAAAACCCAGTTTTTCTTCTTTCTATAATGGGATAATCTATATTTTATTAAGCATAGTTTTGGTTGGTTGGTTTATGAATCAAAGGCAAATTAATGATTATACTTTATTGTGAATTTTCATTTTACAGAGTTTAAACATCTTCCAGAACCTAAATAAACGTCAGTTTGAAACAGTTATTCATTTGTTTGAAGTTGCAATAATAGCAACTGACCTGGCTTTATATTTCAAGTAAGTACAGAACTCTAGCACTCTGTGTGGCTCTACCTTCCGTAAACGATCCACTGCTTTAAAGTTAAATGGCATTTATTCACACACACAATCCTTCATTTTCCTTTTGGATTATTAATAAAATACCCTCAAGATGCCTCACAGTGAATTTACTAGACACATCTACACATATTTTAGAAGCTAAGCCCCTAGTAATAGTTATTGGAAGAAATCTGAATTGAAGGATATGCAGCAAGGTTGGTGCATTGCCAGAGGAGCGATGTCACAAAACCTTACGAGGTGCCGCCTTGTCCTGGTGAATTCATTGTAGTCCAGAGTCTGGTATTTACAGCTGCAGACTCAAACATTTGATCCTGCCACAGTCTCAGAGCTGAAACATCTTGGTGATACTGATGCACATTAACAAACTCACAAAGTTTATACACCAGAGTGCCAGCCTATTTATAGTAATAGTTACCAAGGAGACCAGATACTCCAAGCTTCTGCACATTTTCTTGTCAGTGAACTATAAAGTTGCTTAAAATGCGTAAGAACAAGGTGAATTAGTTATAGGATCTACATGTTTAACAACTTGGGTGGGCAGTATCAAACAGCCTCTGATCCTTCTTAATTAAAAATTATTAAACAGTTCAAACATGAAGACAGGTATTTAGAAATATAAACTGATATCCAAATAGCTATAACCTAGATTCAACAAATGCTAAGATTTTGCCTTAGATCTTTTTTCCCCTAAGTAGAAAAAAAGTGGTGCAATCGAGGCATCCCACCCCCACGCCATCATGAAAGCCCCCCCCCCGCTCCTTCACAGATACCACTATCTTGATGTTACTGTGTACTCATCCTTTCTGTCCATGTTTTTACGTGGTATTGTTAAGTGTGTTTTAAAACTTCCCATAAATGGTATCATACTGTGCATACCTTTCTGCAGTGTTTTCACACATTGTTTTAAAGATTTAGCTTGGTGGTAAATGGAGATCCAGTTCATTCATTTAAAATGTATATTCAGCTCTGTGAATATACCGTAATCTTTGCTTCATGGACATTCAGACTTTCCAATTTTTCATGACTGCCTATACTACCTCATTGTATATCCTTGTCTATATATGAGTTTCTGTAAAGTACATATCTAGAAATGGGACTGCTGCAGGCTTGCATATCTTCAATTATATCACATAGAAAACTGCACTCTTGAGTAGGTATGCCAATTTAAACTCCCACCAGCAGCGTACAAGAGTTCCTGTTAACCGTATCTGGACTATTCTCGATCTGGGCATGTTTAAATCTACTTTGTGAATCTGAAGTGAGATGAAATCTTATTGTTCACATTTGTATTTCCGTATCTTTTCATATATGTTGGGTTGTAACTTTTGGTTGGTTTTATACATTACAGTGTATCACAGCCTGTGGCCTTTATGCTATGATCTTTTCTGTCACATGTAACTTTTAGTTGTATTCAAACTTATTTTTTTCCCTTAATGGCTTGTGCCTTTTCTGTCTGAAACCCTTTCTACACCAACGTTACACAGGCATTCCCTGTTCTCCTCCCCTGGCCCCGTAGGTCCACCAGGTGGACATCTAGTGCCAAGTCGAAATTGAATTCTGAAAAGCATGGATTAAAGACACTTTTTGTCTCTGGTCTTATATGCTAAAAGTGTTGCACAGCTGTATCTTTTTTAGGAAGAGAACCATGTTTCAAAAAATTGTTGATGCCTGTGAAAAAATGGAAACTGAAGAAGAAGCCATCAAATACGTAACCATTGATCCAACCAAAAAGGAGATTATTATGTGAGTCGTCAGAATTTTATTCCTCCTTTGGCAAAAATAACTTGTTTGGTGTTTTTTTTTCTATTTTAACAATTTTTGTTTTCTTTCAAAGGGCAATGATGATGACTGCGTGTGACTTGTCAGCTATAACCAAGCCCTGGGAGGTACAAAGTCAGGCGAGTATTTCTCCTTTTCTATCACACCTCAGGCACTGTCTAGGTAGGTCCCATGTGAAAATAAACATGAAGGTATCTGGCAACCTCAGAATTTTATTATAGCCATCAATTACATGACTGTATATGACTACATTTTAAAAGGAATTAATCTTCCATTACCCTGGACTTGTCCTCTGAAACAATCGGTTTATAATTTACAAAGAAGAAAAAAGGAACTCAAGAAGTTAATACAAAAGTACAATGTTCCCTGTTGGGTTTCTGTTAATGAAGAAAAGCAAACAGCTTTCAAGAGCTCACAAATGCCAGTAAAACAATAGGTCATTGGGTGCAGGTCCCAGAACAAGGCAAATAGAGGGAGCCTTAGAAAGAAAATGCTTTCTGAAAAGAACTCCTGTATCATTGGAAGGCTGTGAAAAGTTTATATAAAATTATTCAGAGTGTCTGCATTTTTAATAGAGGGGATAAATGAGCACACGATGAGGATGAATCATTTGTGCCTTCCTCTATCAAGGGTGGTTTTGCTTCTACAATCTTTTCTTCTGTGTGCTGTCAGTTATTAGAAGGCACTGTCTGAGTTTATGTTTAAGGGTGTCTTCCAAGGAAGTTCTTCCCCAACCCTGGGGAGTGAGAGCAGGGAGCCATTAGTTTACCACATGATTTACTACTAATGGATGAAAGAAGCTTCTCTTTTTTCCTGTTAATTCGTAGGGAAAATTCTAAGCAGAAGAGAGGCCAGACCTCACTGGGTTCAACTATAAATGTGGATTGTATCGTAAATTGGAACCATCAAGTCTAAACCAAAAATACTTGTGCCCCTCCCTGCTGACATGCCTCTCTTCCTCCTCAGTTCTTCATCTACACAGTCACCCAGGGTCCTCACGCTTGAGGCCATCTCCCCCACTTCACAACTACTCACGTCTGTCGCTCTTGCTGCCGTCTTAGTTCGGACTTTCCCTCTCTCATCAGAACCAGGCGGCACGTCCTAAGTGGTCCTCTCATCACTCACCCCCCAACCTTCCTCTGAGCTGCTGCTGGGACTGCTTATAATAGCTTTGTTTGGCCACTGCATTGCGTAAAAGCCTTCTAAACTCCCCACTGACGGAGGTTTTCAACTTTTTTTAAAGAAAGAAGCATAGTCTATTTTCCCCCCACAAAAAGTTGCACAAAATCACTTTTGTATAAAAGAAAAAAGCAGTTGCTTTAGTTTAAATCTCTCTTGGCACCCACCTTTTTGTGCCACTAGTGCACCCTGGAGGGAGCCTAGGGCTCAAGGAATAGAACCACTGGTCCAGAGAATCAAGTCAAACTTCTCAGCAAAGCTCACATGGCCTGTCACTATCTGCCTTAACTCACACTTCCCAGCTTCTCTTCACTCCCGTGTCACTGCCTCACACTCTAAGCTCCGACTGACATAAGCTCTGGATGTTCCATTTTATCTCTGCAGTCTTCCCCTCCTCTTTCCTGGCAAACTGCTATTCATCCTTGATGCTACAGCATAAGTGCAGCCTCCTTTATGACATTTGTCTTCACTCCCTTCCCACTGATCCACAGCAGCTCATGCTATTACTGTTGTAGCACTTAGTACATTGTTTACATGACTGTCTTCACCAGACTGTGAGCATCTCCAAGAAAAAGGTCACATTTTACTCCTCTTGGCAAGCCTGGCATCAGGCAGCTAGCCAGGTTAGTTCAATAACCTTGATAGATACTTTTTTAAAAAACTATATAAACTAACTCAAATATCCTCACACCATCATCAGGATCAGGTAAGTTTGCATTCTAATCTGTATGTGTGTGCATGCACGTGTGTGCACAAATACTCATGCAGATACACGCTAGATGCTAAGAGGTAAGCAGGGCAAGAGGAGGACTTGGGAAGTTTGAGCCTGAAGCATAAGGCAGTGGACTGAGACATGCTCCCATCTCTCCTTTTCACTGTTGAGAGGTAGTGGCGACAGCAAACAGGAGACAGGCACTCCCAGAATGAGTCTACTACACTGAAGTAGGAAGAGAAATCCCCCTTCCCATTTCAACATAATCTGTAAGTGACATCTTTTTAAAACCAAAGAGCATATGGTATGACAACACCTCAGGCATTAATTACAAATTCCATCCTTAAATGTCACTCATACTAATAAAATGCAAATGCCCTACTAAAAACTCACCCTCATGAACCCCGTCTTTCTTATCTGCAGGTAGCACTTCTGGTTGCAAATGAATTTTGGGAACAAGGAGATCTGGAGAGAACAGTGCTGCAGCAACAACCTATCGTAAAGACCCTGACATAAAAATACACTACTTATTAAGAATTACCAATACAAATCAGTCTATTTTGTTCATTCAATCTTAGAAAACTATCTTTAAAGAATTTATTTCTCTTTCTAGCCTATGATGGACAGAAACAAAAAAGATGAACTACCTAAACTTCAAGTTGGATTCATTGATTTTGTCTGTACTTTTGTATATAAGGTAAGTACACAAACTGATAATTTAAGTGAAACATATAATCTTCTGGATGGGAATTTTTCTTTCAAACTGTAACCAAAATCAAAGTCACCCACGAGGAAAACCATTAGTGGTGTCCTTGCTTCTGCAAAGAAGTGTGAGGTATTACCCTAATCTCATTCAGGGGTGGAATGAAAGGTGAGAGAACTTGGACATGAGCAAATCAAATAGACTTACTTAGGTGGGCAGGAAAGATGGCAGCACCTATCCCATTTCCAAGGCGGAGTTAATCTCATCCTAGCAGCTCTGAGTGCCATAACACTTTCCTTCTCTGCATATGAAAAGTACTGAAAATCAGTGATACGATTTAAGTAGTTTCCGACTTAAAATTCTCTCTAGGAGTTCTCACGGTTTCACAAAGAAATCACACCTATGCTGAATGGTCTTCAGAATAACAGAGTGGAATGGAAAACCTTAGCTGATGAGTATGACGAAAAGATGAAGGTACTTGAAGAAGAGACGAAAAAGCACGAAGAAGGAAATACGACTGAAAAAGGTTAGATGGACTCAAAGTCAAGCAGAGCTTAATCTCCCATGACAAAAGCATAAAAAATCAATGCAAACGGGAAATATGCTTTACTGTACACACACTGGTAATTACAGGTTGATTAGTGCTTTTCAGGTCCCCCCTCCCCCTAAACAAGATCTTACTTATAATTCCAGATGCAACTGGCCCAGTTGAAGTAGGGGTTAGGTTTCCTCATTCGCTCTAGAAGGTGACTCCTGAGGTACCACTGCAGGATACTGAGTTTTCAGAAATAGTATGAAAACCATAGAATCAGTGGGATCAGGGTTAGGTGAGAAAACAATTTTAGTCGCGACACAATGCATTAGCTGTGAGACTTTGGCAACTTGCTTAACCTCTCTGAGCTTAATGTTCCTCTCCATACAATAAGAAGGTTTTACAGATCTCCAGTCTCACTTTCAGACCTAAGGAAGCCCTCCATGTAAAGCTGGCCAGCTGAGTGGGGCAACTTAACAGGTACCCCAGGACTTTGTCTTTGCCTCAGATGTCTCTACACAGCGCTGTTTTTTCTGATGAAACTTCTACTCCTAAAGTCAGTCTGCTAGGTTTAACATAATCTTTAGAAAGCCTCTGCTAAGATGCTTAGGATCACCTATTAGTTCATCAAATGACTCAGATGTCATCTAGAAAGTGGAATGCTAATATGACTTCGAGAGAGCTCAGCATTCAAAAGGTTTTGTAAGAAATTGTTTAACAAACCAATTGTCTCTCTCTGAAAAGGCCTTGTAAATAACTGGTTCTATTGTGTTTGGAGTTATTTTAAAGAACTCAGGAGAAAGCATTTTGCTTAAAGGGTTAAGGATATCCTAAAACAGAATGAAAATGGACTTCCTGGCTCCTTGACACCCATCCACTTACATATTTTGGGGTGTGTATTCTGTACAAAGCCTTGTGTTATTACGCAGGCCCTTGGGAAAGATGGGGCCCTTATCTCAAAAAGTTTACCATCTGGTGGAGCTAGACATTAAACCAACAAATGAACCATTGGTTTTCTATGACTATCAGAGGAAGCATGAGGCATGAACCTGGGCATCAGGGAAGGCTTTCCTGAAGGGGCTTCGCTTAACTCTGAGGACAGTAAGCTTTGCCTAAGCAAAGAAAGGAGGAGTTGGAAAGGAAGGGAGAGAACAGAATATACACAAAGGCCTTGAAGTGGACAGAAGCTTGGCGCAACTGAAGAACTTAAAAACTGGTGAAGCTGGAGTCTAAGTGAGTAAGGAGAGCAAGGTACCAATGACACTGGTGATGCAGGCGGCTCTGCCAGGTGTGCTGTCTTGAAGGCCCCTAGAGAGCACTGGGGAGTCATTCAAGAGATTTAAACAGAAAATAAGATCTGATTTGCACTTCAAAAAGATAACAAAATGCTCATTTTTTACTGAGCAAGTGAAAAGCAAAGGTATTTCTCAGTACGATTAAATTTAATCTTTATCTCAATTTTATGGTAAACAGGATATCAAGCGCTTTAGTATTCAGTGTATTGGATATGGGTCTGCTATATTTTATTTGCATAAAAAATTACTTCTGAATTTTTTTCTTGCTACAGTGAGAACTCTCTGAACTAAGAACATTATTTTATCTCCAGGCAACAAGCTTTGTGCCTGGCACAAAGCAACAACTCAGATTCCTGGATTCCATAGTTCAGTGGTTCTCTTGAGAAACTGAGATGTTAACTGGCTAATCATTTATTAGATTTTATTTTTTAAATGGACCAATTCAAGTTTTTAAATGGTCAAACCTTTAGTACTTGTTATAGGTTAAAACTATTAATTAGGCTATAAAGTTACACTAATGTCATGAGTGTATTAAACCAAAAACACTATATCCATTGGCTCCCAATAATATTGCTTTTTTCCTTTTTACTAGCTGCAGAAGATACAGGAGGTGGTGGTGATGACAAAAAATCCAAAACATGTCTAATGTTGTAATGCAATCCAACTGGTCCCAATTTCAAATATTACCAAGTCTGAAGAAAAAAACATTTAAAAGAACTTCAGCAAATTTCATTCAGCAAACCATCAAGCAACAGAGTAAGAGACTCTTCAGAAAAGTTACCCTTGTGACTATCATGAGAAAATATATTGCTAGCCTGAAAGCCCTGAGGGTAAAATAAAGTTCAACAAAAGTGCAAAATAAGACAAAAGTAAGTGCATTTTTGGTGCCAATTTGTTTTAAATTAAAAACAATATAGTCCTGAAACTAGTCACCAATTTTTTTTTTAAAGTTCTCAGTAACTGTAGTCATTGATTAGGGCTACTATAACAAAACACCCCAAACTGAGTGAATTCAACATTTTTCTCACGGTTCTGGAGACCGGTAGTCCAAGATGAAGGTCTTGGCAGGGCTGGTTTCCTATGAGGCCTTTCTCCTTGGCCGGTCAATGGCCATCTTCTCCCTGTGTCTTCACATGGCCTTGGGTCTTCCCTCCTGTCTGTGTCCTAATCTCTTCTTACAAGGACACCAGTCCTACTGGATTAGGACCCACTCACATGACCTCATTCTAGCTTAATTACCTCTTTCAATGCCCTATCTCCAAATAACAGCCACTTTCTGAGGTACTGGGGTCAGGATTTCAACATACAAATTTTAGATGGGACACAATTCAACCCATAACATTAATAATCATGATTCACACCTCATATCCCTTCCTGAACTAAAAATCTCTCTTCAACATGTCTTAATGTAAGAGTAAATACAGTACAGAATGATGTATAATGTAAGCAAATACTATATAAGAAACAATGGAAAAGGATGTTAAATGTTTTTCCGTCTGAAATGCTTATCTCTTTCCTCTACTTTTTACCCTTGATAATGAAACAGTGAAGACCACACCACTTTTGCAGCTTAACACTGTCACCATCCTAGGCCAATACTTCCCCCCACGTCTGAAATCAATTTTATGTGTAACTAAGGATATATTCTTACATTCAGAAATATTATTCTCATTGAAAGAATTATCAGTTTATAAGACAGTACCTGGATAATCCTAATGCAAGTTAACTCAGCTAATAAATATTCTGCAATATTAAGAAGCATGTGATTTGAGTATGTGACAACTTTACTATCAAAAGCAGTTTAGGACTTCAACAGAGATTACTTTAAAAAAAAATTACTAGAACTATCCACCAAGCATTCTAAACACTGACTTGTCAAGAGAAACTAAAGATGATCAACTACTTCTACTTACACAGTACATATCCGAACATCAGAGAAACTTAAAATTTCTTTCTTTACTTATCTATATGACAGACCAAATTAGAAAAACAGACCAAATGTTAATACCATAGATTTTCGTATAAAATATATCTAAATTATAATAGACTGACAATCTATGCACCCCAGATGTTTTGTTATACAGAAGATAGTGTTCAATTTTAAGCAGCTGATAAATAAATCACCATTTGCTATATTTTTACAAGTAAGTTAGGTACTTAGAATCATGAGATTGGTCCTCTCACATTAGAATGTAAAGGCCATGAGAGGAAAGATTTGTCTATTTTTGTCATGTTTTGTTCACAGTTCTATGCTCACACTTAGGGTAGGGCCTGGCACAAGGTAGGCACTCAGTAAACATGAATGAATAATATTTTTAATAAATGTCATAACAAACAGGCATAAATGAGGAGTGCCTGAAAGTAAAGTATTTTTAGGGAGGAAAAAACTCAATATACACACCCAAATGAATGTTGTCTATGTAAGTCATCACTTGGGTGATACATGTACATCATATTTCCATTGCTTAAAATAGTTCTGAAACTCTGCTTCTAGGATTATTTTAGAAACTGTATGAAGAAACTTTGTTCCTTTAGCCTTATGTAATTTCAGACCCCAAAATACCAGCTCAAACAACTTCCCCTTCTTATTAGAAAATGAACTGAGGGGTAGAGATGGGCCAGCACTGAAGGTCTGCAAAAGTAGGAACTCTGCTTAAGAGCAAGTATAAGAAAGCATGACTTCATATCCCAAACCAGAGATAGGTCTGTTGGAGGGCTAATCTTTAAAGTCATCATCTTGAAGCCTTAAAGACTCCATTAAAATGACTCCCATTACCTGCCGCTGTGTAAGAATGGATTAAATGTTATTAGATAAAATGATCTAAATTTATAAATGAACTTGAAGTCCATAAACCATACCTGCAACACCAAATATATGGATCTGTTTTAAAAGGATCCTTAAATATTCTTCCTAGCCATTGCTTAATTTTGCAGGAATTTTCTGATGACCACTAAACTGTAAATATATTTTTATCATAAAAATGTTTTAGCAACATATATTTTATTACTAGTATCAGTTTTGCTGTTGGACATTTCAACATTTTTTCCTTAGAAATCAAGATTCTTTTTTATCCACTAAAAGTAGTGAGCCGAAAAAAACAACAAGCATTGTTAACTTATTTGTTGGTTAATAAACCAACACTGATTTACTGTTTTCTGACAGTTCAGAAATGATTACATAACTGTTTCCTAGACAGTGCCCCACACATAATAGAAGCCTGATAAATATTTGTTTAATTAATGAATAACTGTTTAATAAAAGGAAAATCTGATACTATTTTAAAACATGAGATTATAGTTACCTATTTTGCAATTTTACGTCAATCAAGTTAAAAATGTCATTTAAAATAGTATATCTTTAACAAAATAATTGGAATCTACAGGTCCTCTCTTACTCACCAAATCATGTATCTTCTCCTGTAGCCATCTCTTTGCTCTTTATAAAAATGGGTCTGACCTTTCGAAAAAAATCAATGAATCCTTTTGAAAATTTGATGAAAACTATAGACCTTTTCCCTCAAAACACAATCACAGAAGTTTACACACAGATTCTAGGAGTGTTTAGATTTCCTGACGCATGTCAATTGACTCTTGGAGGGGGTTACGGATCCCAGTTAAGACATTACATTTTATAATATATTTCTGCATATAAGTGTATCCACATCTGTATGCTTGAATCTGAGAAACTATGCAAACAGTATTGTTCAGTTACATTACGTTATTGCATGAACTTTTGTGAACATGTCTGCTGTTTTAGACTATTGGGATCTCATTCGGCCTCCTGTAGTATTAATTTACTTTGTAAGTTAGCCATACACTGGGGAATCAAATTATAACAAACTCCCTTAAGTGGCAGAGGCGAGAAGGAAGCAAGAGAAGTGTAAGGGAAAAAAAGGCAGCTAAATAGGTACTCAAAAGAGGGCTGCTAGTGTATCAAAGGAAAGGAAAGAAGCTGAAGACATACTTAACCTACTTTATAATTTTGTGAGACCACAATAATCCTAATAATTTAAACTGAGGCAAGGGAAGATAAACGTGAATCAGCAGGGAAAAAAAAAACCCCGTAAAATATAGGGACAGTCGATCTCTGTATAGTGTACTAGTACCATCCACTAGGAGCAGATGAAACAGTCATAGATAAGCAATTGAAAAGAGATAAGGGACAGGGAAAGTGTCTCCAACAGAACTGGAAACTTCCAAACCATCTGACATCCTGAGTGTAGCTGGATTTTTATTTCCAAAGAGAAACCACTCAAGTTGCAACTTGTAGATAAAACTTTTGTGAAAAGTTCAAAGTATACTTTCACATTAAAGAATGTAGGCATCTCTCTTTATCTCACAGAAATAAATCTTGAAAATATTCATCAAATTCTTCTTCCCTATTTAAAAGAAAAATTGTACATATTGATTAAAATCAACAGAGAAAAAAATTAGATGAGATTAATAAAAATATTAATAAAAATAAAAGTTTAATCTAACATATTTGCTGATTCTTTTATATCTCAGTATATCTCATGATTCAGCTAATAATTCTTGGCTTCTAAAATAATCATAACTATACCCAGACTGATTAAATTAAAAATGTTGTATATGTTAGTACCTCTCCCTAAACATTTTTTACCAAAGATTTTATTTTGAAGTACTTTGTGAAATGTCATTGCTTCTCTTAACTTTTTGGTTGACTTTATAACTTACTCTGTTCATCCTCATTTCAAATTATAGTCTGATCAAAAAGTGAATGGAAAAGAAACTAAGGAAAAATATAACTTACTCCTAGGAACAGGGAAAATTTGCTTTTATTACTCTGAGAATAATACGTATTTGCAGCAGTAAAGATTATATCTAAAACAAAGAACACAACTCTGAAAGGAGATATTAAATTAAATTATAATGTGTTAAAATAATATGAAAATTGTAAAGTACTAAATAAATACTAGTGCTAGGAGCCAGAGTGATACAGTGGAAATAGCACAGGTTTTCAAGTCAGACAGTGTTTAAGTCCTAGCTCTGTCAGTTATTAGCTGGGTGAGCAAGTTATTTAACTTCTCTGGGCTCAGTTTCCTCATCTATAAAATGAAGAACATTACATTTCCTCACAGAGGTGTTGTAAGGACTGAATGTATACGCAGTTGCTTTTCTGACTCTGGGAATCAAGTTGGACAAATTCTGTCTACCAGTCTCTTTAGAAAATGTTCTTTTAGATCAGAGATTCACAATGGGACCCCATCATTTGGTTTTAAATAAGTGTGAATGCATAAAGCTATCAAAACCCGTTCAAATTTTTAAAAAATTAAAGAATTAGATAAAGTTGATTTAAAAATTATCTGCAGTTTGGTATTCTCCATGCTACTGTCCCTCTTCTCTAACATGATAGCAAAATGCAGTAGAATTGTTAAATTATAGTAAGAACTTAAATATATGAAATTAGCTGAATCTCTGTGTAGACTTAGATGTTAGTAACTGATGTGAAGTTTTTATAAAGTCACAAACGGTTCTGGATTATGAAACCCCTCTTAGGATTTACTCATTTATCTTTACTATCAAAAAAGGTGACTTGACTCTAAGACCTACTCTGTCATTTTCAGCTATATAGCTCTTCAAGGGCAAGTTATATGGATGGAAGTTCAGTCAATAGTTTGACTAGGGTAGCAATGCCTTTTTTATAATCTGATCTATAATGACCACTCAATATGGGAATTCTTTATTTGGCTGAAAAAAAAAAAGGTTAAGGTCACTGAAAAAAAGTAATCTTGTTCAAGAAAAACACTTTCCAATATACCTGAATTCTATTACACTGAGAACATATCATATAATTAGCAAGACGTTTTATAATTGTTTTAAATTAGGGAATTATAATTGATTCAACAGGTTTCTTATTATGAACCAATATACCTAGAGACTAACAAAATGGGACTAAAATTTATTGAGCACTTACTATCAGTAGGTATTGTATCAGGTGCTCTATATTCTTTATTCTATTAAATCTTCACAATAAACTCTCTGTAGTAGGTATTATTTTGTCCTCTTTTAACAGATAAAGTTCAAATGGTGAACATATATGCAGTATATAACAAAAGCTGATAATATTCCAGGTTAAATCCAGACAGCTCTTCCAATCAATAGCAGAGAATAATGCATGCAATGAGTTATCTGTCTCTGGGGGCTAAGGTGGCTGTTGGCAAGAAAACTTTTACACTTGCATGTATCTTCAAGGGGCTCCCCTGTACAGGTTTACGATAATCATAATATCATGAACAGGCTGCTCTGGAAGCTAGTAAACAGCAACTGTCTAAAAGAATCTAAGCAGAGACTAGGGGGTCATCTGTTAAGGTGAACTGAGGAAAATTTATTCATCAAAAGGGAGCTGGACATGCTGGCCATTTATGGCCACAAACAATGGATGGGAATAAAATCTGATCTCACTAGGCTAGGTGGTCCTTGGCATTAAATAAACATCCATGATGTTAAGTTCTTCATTAACTGTTATTAAGAATGGCTACAGTCACAGCTTCCCAAACTGATGTAAAAGGTATGCATTATCTATTAATATTAGGACTTACTGTGATTTTTCATCTGTTTCTGGTAGTGGGCCCTTCCAAAGTTCAGATTCTGAAGTACTTTCCTCCTCATCAGAGTTTCCTGTTCATTCGAAAGAGATTTTTTTAAATGTGCATATTACATTTAAAACACATTTTGAACTAACCACCAAGGCAATTAAGTTAATGTCAGATTTAACTGCAGTTTAGCTTCAACTTTTATGGCTCTCTGAAAATTTAATTCACTTTTCCAGATCAATATATTCTTTTTAAAAGTAAATAAGCTGAGATATACCAAAGAGCCTCAGCAAAAATACCAAGGATTTAAAGTCTCATGGGAAAATTCTATAAGTTACACTGAGTTAAAGTAGCAATTCCAATATTAACTCTATATTATAAAGGAATTATCTCTCGCAATATAGCTGTCTTTAGTTTCTTCTTTCTTGTTCGTACAAAACACATGCAGGTTAAGATTTTTGCAGAGAGTATGTTTACATTAGGTTCAAGACCTCAAGAACTGAACTAGTATGTAGGACCAGCTAGTTGAATTATGAAAAAATATTTGTCAGTGTATTCTCATGCACTGTTAGGAGTAAAAATTCTAAAAATCTTTCTTCTTGAGGAAAGTCTAGCAATACAGATC